GAGGGGCACTATACACTCAATTCTTTTACTTAAGCTCAAAATCAGATTTTGGTGCCTTAGAAAGAGAGAGGGTCGACTAAAGAAGAGAGAGGGTGAAGGAAATGAAAGATTTGAGCTAGAAACTTGAGTAAATTGAAGACTAACTCAAGATTTGGCCATAAATTAGGAAGATTGGGCTTCTAGGTAAGCAATTGGTTATGAATTCATGAGTTTAATATTGTAATTTTGAGAATTCAAAGTTAAATGGTGATCAAGAACAAGAATTGTGTTGGATTTGATGAGTTTGAAGTCATGGAATGCATGCACATGTATAATTGCCATGAATTTGTATAGTTGAGCATGAGAAGTATGATCCATGTAGAATTTTGATTAAAGTTCATGTCTGTGATCACCATTTGCACCATGTAAGTTGAAATAGGAGTTATATTCCACATGCATGTACAATTCATGAGAATATGAGTTTGAAATACATGGAATTGTTATGATGGAAATAAGTTTGGTGTAATTTGGAACATGCATGTAAGTAATTCATGGAATTGAGCTTCATAATGTTGTAATTTGGTGTTTGTACCATGTTAGTACATGTATATGTGAAGTTTGAGTCATAATATGCAAGATATGTTGACTTGAATGTTGAATTTGAGCTCAAGAATAATTATGGATTTTCCAGAATTTGGGATGTCCGCTCGAGCGGGGAAGGCACTGCTCGAGCGGGAAATACGAGCTCCCAGGACTTTTTGCAGACATGATGTCCACTCGAGCGAGGAAGTTCACGCTCGAGCGAGGAGCTATGTAGGATGACCTTCAGCTCGAGCGTCCGACTTCACGCTCGAGCGTAAAAGTGAGGCAACCGGTACCTTTGCAGACCTTATGGGTCCGCTCGAGCAGGGAAGTCCATGCTCGAGTGGGGGACCCTTGTTTCTGAAATTTTGAAAATGCATTCTGTGCTTTGTTTTCCGTTCTCTTTCACTTCTAAGTACTCTTAGGCATGCATTAAGCATTGTAAATGAGTTAAAACGATAAGAATGAAGCCTAAAGAGGAATATGTGAATTAAGAACGGATTGATTTGTTTGTGACCCATTGTGTACATGGAATGTGTAGGGTCGAGCTCCAGGGCAAATCATCCAGTCGATCACTGTGAGTAATATCTTAATAAAGATATTTTGAA